AACAGTTGAATAAGGTGACGATTAAGAATAAGTATCCACTTCCGAGGATAGATGACTTGATGGATCAATTGGTGGGTGCTCGAGTGTTTAGTAAGATTGATTTGAGGTCAGGCTACCATTAGATTAAAGTGAAGGATGAAGGTATCCAGAAGACGGCTTTCAGAACGTGTTATGGACATTATGAGTATTCAGTGATGCCTTTTGGTGTTACTAATGCGTCGAGAGTATTTATGGAATACATAAACCGTATCTTTCATACTTATTTGGATCGGTTTGTAGTGGTGTTAATTGATGGTATTTTGATTTAATCTAAATCGGAAGAAGAACATGAAAAACACTTAAGAATAGTATTTCATGTTTTAAAAGAGAAGAAGTTGTATGCAAAACTATCTAAATGTGAATTTTGGTTAAAGGAGGTTAGTTTTCTTGGTCATGTGATCTCAGGTAGTGGCATTACTGTAGATCCCTCTAAAGTAGATGTTGTGTTGCAATGGAAACTCCAAAGTCAGCTACCGAGATTAGAGGCTTTTTGGGATTAGCTGGTTATTATAGAAGGTTTATCGATGATTTTTCTAAGTTGGCACTTTTGTTGACTAAGTTGACTTGTAAAGGTAGAGCTTTTGTGTGGGATGTTCAATGTGAAAAGAGTTTTGCAGAATTGAAGAAAAGATTGACGTCGGCTCCAATTTTGACATTACCTAATCCAGGAGAGCCTTTTATGGTATATTGTGATGCTTCTAAGATAGGTTTAGGAGGTGTGCTTATGTAGAATGATAAGGTAGTTCCTTATGCGTCAAGGCAGTTGAGGACTCATGAAAAGAACTATCCTACACATGATTTAGAGCTTGCTGTAGTTATTTTTGTGTTGAAAATTTGGAGGCATTATCTTTATGGTTCTAGATTTGAAGTATTTAGCGACCATAAGAGTTTAAAGTATTTATTTGATTAGAAAGAATTGAATATGAGACAATGAAGATGGTTGGAGTTGTTAAAGGATTACGATTTCAGTTTAAATTATCATTCAGGAAAAGCGAATATGCTAGCTGATGCGTTAAGCCGAAAGACTTTACATATATCAACAATGATGGTTAAAGAGTTGGAATTAATTGAACAATTCAGAGATATGAGCTTAGTTTGCGAGGTGACACCGCAGAGTGTTATGTTGGGGATGTTGAAGATTAATAATGATTTTCTAGATAATATCGAAGAAGCTCAGGAGTTGGATGTAAAACTGGTAGATTCGATGGTTGGGATCGATCAGTCTGAAAATAGTGATTTTAAGTTAAATGCGTAAGGTGTGTTAAGATTTCGTAATTGGATTTGTATTCTTGATGATGCGGAGATGAAGAAAGTGATTCTTGAGGAAATTCATAGAAGCAAGTTGAACATTAATCCGGGAGCTACAAAAATGTATCAAGATTTGAGGGATTTTTTTTCATGGCCTAGAATGAAGAGTGATGTGACTCGGTTTGTGTATGCATGTTTAAATTGTTAGAAGTCGAAAGTTAAACATTAGAAGCCTGCAGGGTTGATGCAACCGTTGGAAGTTCCGGAATGGAAATGAGATAGCATTTCAGTGGACTTTGTGACGGGATTACCTAATACTTCAAGAGGGCATGATACAATTTGGGTGACTGTTGATAGGCTTACGAAGTTGGATAATTTTATTCCTATTAACATCAATTTTCTAGTATCAAAGTTGGCAGAGATTTACACTAGTGAAATTGTGAAGATGTACGGTGTTCCTTTGTGTATTATTTCAGATATAGATCCAAGGTTACTTCAGACTTTTGAAAGAGTTTGCAAGAGGCGTTGGGTTCTAAGTTGAGGTTGAGTTCGGCATATTATCCTCTGACAGATGTTCAGACGGAGAGGAATATTCAGTCATTAGAAGATTTATTGAGAGCATGTGTTCTTGAGTAGGGAGGTTCGTGGGATACTTATCTTTCGTTGATAAAATTCACTTATAATAATAGTTACCATTCTAGTATTGGAATGGCACCTTTTGAAGCGTTGTATTGTCGGAGATGTAGTACTCCTTTATGTTGGCATGAGTGTGGAGAAAGTGCAGTGCTTGGACCTGAAACTGTTCATGAGACCACTGAGAAGAGGAAGTTGATTCGAGAAAAGATGAAAGCTTCCCAAAGTAGACAGAAAAGTTATCATGACAAATGAAGGAAAGATTTGGAATTTCAAGTAGGTGACCATGTGTTTCTGAGAGTTACACTTGTGACTGATGTTGGGCGAGCATTGAAGTCTAAGAAGCTCACTTCTCATTTTATTGGTCCGTATCAGATTTTAAACAGAGTTGGAAATGTTGCTTATAGAGTGGCTTTACCGCCTAATCTTTCGAATTTGCATGATGTGTTTCATGTGTCACAACTCCTGAAATATATTTCAGATCCATCTCATGTGGTTCATATGAATGATATGCAAGTACGGGATAATCTTAATGTGGAGAAGATGCCTGTACAAATCGCGGAACGTGAGATGAAGACTCTAAGAGGCAAAGAGATTGCTTTGGTGAAAGTAGTCTAGCTAGGAGCTGCCGGAGAAAGCATGACTTGGAAGTTGGAAAGCAAGATGCGGGACTCCTATCCTGAGTTGTTCGAATAAGGTAAATTTTCGAGGAAGAAAATATTCTAAGTGGGGGAGAGTTGTAACACCCCTTAATTTAATTAATTATTTAATTAAATTATTTTTGGATTATTTGTTGAAAAGTTGTGAGATGTTGAGAATTGTTGCTATAAGTTGTTAGATTATTATTAATTAATTAATTAGTTGATTAATAATAATAATATTGGAATTAGTGGAATAATTGTGTTGGACTTATGTTATTGGTTGGAAGTAGTAAAGTGGGGGTGTGTAGGTTAGGCCCAATAGGGTTGATGATATAAGGTTAAGCTGACACAAGGATTTGATTTAGTTGGTGATTAAGGGTTTTTGTGCGCTGACCGTGTGAGGTCGCACAAAGAGGGGAGCAAGTTGCTCGGTGTCGAGCAGAACAAAGCAAGGTTGCCGGATGGGATTTTGGTATAGCGACCTTCATGGCAAATATTATGTTGTAGGCTTATGGCCAACATTGATTTATGTTGAGTTGTTGTTTGTTGCTACATTCATAATTGTGTCACATATATCGTATATCAAGTTGGAGCTGATGCTCGTTAAGTTGGTCTGGATTGGCAAAATATTAAGTTGAAGGCTTATGCCTTGTTGATGCCTCTATTTATTGGCAGCTTTTTAAGTTGGGAGTTCTGCTCCATTGGTACCACATGCATTTGCATAAAGACAAGTTGCATTCTGTGTTGCATTATGTATCGTTGTGTGGTTGATTTGATTATGCTTATGTTGTTATTAATTGTGAAGAGGTGGTTTTTGCATGAAATGATTCTAATATAATGTTTATCATACATCCGATTATATTATTCGATATCTCACCCCTTCTATTTGAATGTTATCCATACGTTGGTAACGTGCAGGTAATCCAGAGTGAAGGCGGTTTACCTTCAGTAGTTCGAGTCGGTGTCATTGCTCCGATACGTAACATTCGGGGGATGAACGCTTGCTATTTTATTGTTGTTATTATTTCAATTGATTGAACCTTAAGTTGTTGTTCGTTAAATACTTGTTATTTGAAGTTGTTTTAGTTGGACAAAGATGTTATATTATTACAAGTTGAATATTATGATTCTGCTGCGTAGTTATGAAAGTTGTTGGCTTTAAAAGATTAATCTATGTTGTTGTTGGTTCATCTGAGTTTAAAGTGTTATGTATCTGTGATGAATGTCGTTGTCTTAAGTTGAATTTGTAGCATCCTGATTTATTTGTCAGAAATTTTATAACTCTGATTTCATATATATTATCGGGTAAAATTGGAGTGTTACACATCACGTTTCGACTATGGTCAAGGATTACTCTGAAGCAAAAAATCAAAGTGCAGTTACTTCTAAAGTGGATAAGACTTTGGTTATGATTGGTTGGAAGCCTCCTCAAATCAACTACGTCAAGCTCAACACTGATAGAGCGTGCAAGGTTAGGGTAATATCTGGTTGTGGTGGTGTTACAAGAGATGCTAATGGAAGTTGACTGGTGGTTTTGTGAAAAATATAGGTTCGAGTTTTGCCTTTATAGCATAATTATGGGGTATTTTTGAAGGTCTCAAATATACAATTAAATTAGAGAAAAAGAAGGTGAAGCTTAATGTGGATTATGCAGGCGAATGTTATTAAAAAAGGCTCGTCATATAGCTTTGAAGGATATGCTCTTTTATGTCAAGTCACAAGATTGATTGAGCTTCATGAGGATGTGCAAATTAGTCACTCTTTTAGAGAAGCAAACAAGTGTACAACTACTATGGTTAACGAATGGTGCAATTTAAATGGCAATTATATTAGTTATAATGACGCTCGTAGTCTTATTAGTAGTTCATTTGTTAGAGGATGACCTGTTAGAAATTTCTGTTCCTAAATTAATTTGTGTAGTCTTTCTCTTTTTCTGAACTTTGACTCTCTTATTTACTAAAAAAAAATTAAAAATACAATTTTATGAGTTCTCCTATAAACAGTAAACATGTATCTCCAATTGAAGATAATTTTCACATTACAAATTAATTTTATAAAATTAAATTACAATTAATTTAAAAATTAATTGATTTTTATAAAATTATTTTTTAAAAACCAAATAAAACCATAAATATAATTTAATTTACAATCACAAACTCATTAAGAATCAAACCATATTGACATTATCAACATGATCAACAAGCCCACATTAGAACTTCCATGAATAAAGAAAAAGAAGATCAATAATATATTAAAAAAGTGATTATCAACAACTTGAACAATATCCAATAATACATTGTTATTATTATCATCATCATGAATACAATAATGGCTACAGGTTTATTACAATCCTGCCAACATATACAACAACATTGCAACATCCTTAACCATAGAATCAAATATCAAAACAAAAAAAATCTTAAAAAATAACAATCAAATTTAAACCTTTTCATCATTCTGATTCTGTTCCAATTCCACCTCAGAAACCTCTATTACCCTTCTTCTACACAAAGAAACCATGAAAATCCACATAACACCTTTCACAATTCTCACCATTCCATTTGTAACAGTTAAATAATACAACCACCATCCAACAAATTCCTCTATTCCAACATCCATCAATTGTTCTTTTTCTGTTTCACCTATAACACCCAAATTCTCAATCTCCTCTCTCAACTTCCACCACCACAATGTTCCTAAACAACCAGCAACAACCACTTTCTCAACCCATAGTCCCTCTCTTTTTCCATTACCAAAAACAGTGTCATCCACCACTGGTCTCACAACAACCTTTGACCAAATTTGCGTCGTTTCGTGTAACCCCAACAGAAATATCATTCTGCTTAAAAAGCTTCTCTCAACAACATCTTCAACGAAAACATCCTCGTCAGAGTCGAAAACTCCGGCTGCAATGCTTGCTTCAATTCCTAGACCAACACAAATTTGAAAAATGCATAGAAGAATCCATTTCCATGATATGTAAAGACGAGTTCGAAGAAGTATAGAGTTTGATGAATCATTCAAAACGGTGATTTTTCCCATTAGCCCATTGATCAAAGTAGCTACACTTACAATGGAAACAAGAACATAGAGAATACATGGGGAGGTGTGTATAGCAAAAGAGAAAATATAGGGTAAGTGTTCTTGTAGTGAATGAGTTTCAAGGTGGAATTTAGCACCGGAGAGACTAGATAAGAGAAGAAAAGAAAGAGGGAGGAGAAGAGTGAGGATTGAGATGGTGAGGAGGTGGAAGATTGTTCTAGGGGTGTAGATAGTAATAACATAGTTGAAGAAGAACTCTTTGGATTTTTCTTGCCAACCCATTTGTTTTAGAATGAAGCAATTAATGTTGAATTGAAGAAAATGAATCACTTTCTTCTTAATTCACAAGCTAAAGGGAATTTGAAGATTAAGTAAAGGTGTTTCTCTCTTTATGTATGTGACTTGTTAACTATATTGTTTTGAAATGAAATTTATTAAGTGGTTACCACGTCCATAGGCTATTTAGTTGACATTGTATAGGACATGGTGTTGTTGATTGATTCTTTATATTTATAGACTATAGTATTTATTTCATTTAGATCAATCTCCACCATATTATATTAGTCTATCATTGTTGCATTGGTTTGGTATGAGAAAAGAATATTGGAATGGTTTGAATAATGAGGTCGTTTAATTGGTGCAAATTTGATGGATGAGAGTGGAAAAAGTTTGAAAATTTGAGGAAACCTCTTTGGCTATTCCGTGGCTCTCTCTCTCTATGTTGACAAAACATCTATGGATTTGTTTTTGTCTATATTTGAAATTACGTACTACGATCAAATATAATGCCAAAACGTTACAATAATAAATTTGCTACTTGTACGTCAAAGAAATTAGGAAATGGCAATTTGGGATGAAAGGTGCTATGTGATTGAGCAATTATTATTATTATTTTTAATACAAAAATTCCGGAGGAATATCTAATATTCTAACGGGTCGATATGAGGCAAGTTTTACCTTTTTTTTCTTTCTTTTTTGGATATAATGGAGGTCATCTTGGTTGAAATCACACAATTACACTATGATGCAAAAAGGAAATCAGATAAATCTTATCATAAAAAGTTAATATAATCAAATGATAATCAATAATATGATATTTTATAATAATCAATATAGTCTGATGGAGGATATGTTGAGAAATAAAGTGAATTGTGTTGAAAAATAAGTGTGAATTCTAAGTTTCACATTGTTTAGAAAAGTGGAGGTTAAATATTTTATAAATGAGAGTTCTCATACACCTATCATTTTATGATTTTTGGTGAATATGTGATTTCTCTCTCACTTATATGGGTGAGTCTTTAATCTTTAGGTGAATTTTTGATCAAATGTGAATCCTTCCCATTCATTATAATCCGTCAGTGGTATCAGAGTTAAGGTTCTGATCAAAGAATGAAGGAAGAAAAACAAAAATTAATTTTAGAAATATGGTTAATCATTATAATTATAATGATCGCTTTGAAGATGAAATTGAAGACAAATGAAAGATATGCGAGACTCTCGGTGAAAGGAGAATCTAATGGGTCAAATAGTATATTCATTCAAGTATCTCATTGTGTAGTAGGAAAAAAAATATAATTTAAGTATTAATATGAATAGAGATAATTAGTTTTAGTTTTCTACACACCACAACAAAATGTAGTATTTTGGGTATATTGGGGATTTGAGTAGTTGCGTGTCTAGAATGAGTTTTTTATTTTTCCTTTCAAAATAGTTTTGTTGAGAGGGTTTCATAATTCCCGTTTAAAAAATAGTTTTGTTGAGAAGGCTTTCTATTTTTCTGTTAAAAAATAGTTTGTTGAGAAAGTTTGACCCAATGTGAATGCTTCCCCCCTTATGATACCCTCATTATAACCCACCAGGATAATCTAACAAAAATAATATTTGTAGGTTTGTATAGAAAAATTTGCTAACCGGTATGCCATCTGGTTAGCTTGCCTATAAATATGTTTTATTCTCACACTTGAGTATCTCATCTTAAGGTGATTGATGAGATTTATTATGGTAGAATAAGGACGTGACAAAATACTTACAATTTTAGGAAGTTTGACAACAATTTCAAAACTTGTTTATAATTAAAGGTGGTAAAATAGACTCGACCCGTCGGACATGGCATTTTGTACACATTTTTTCGCGGAATGTGCTAAGATTTTAGGTATGCACTCTCTAATGTGTGTGTCCCTCCTCATCTAGTTTTTTTTTTGTACAAGCACAGATATTAACATAATTTTTTTTTCATTTTTAGGCGTTAGAGATGCAGTGCCCACGAACCCTCTCCGCCATGTCCTCATTTTTTTGCGAGGCAGATTAAGGTTTTAGACTCACACACTCAACTATGTATATCCTGCCCAACCCAATTTTTTGGGACATGCATCCTCGTTTGCAACTCCTATTTATACCTCAATAAAAAAATACCTTTATCTCAAGATATATGTAATGCTGAGTAGATATCCAATAATTATTCCATTAAGATCGAGCAATGACCCAAACTACAGGTAAAACCATGTAGCCACGAACCAGACTAATTTGAGAAAACACCTTCGTAAGAAGACTTGTTTGTATGTCTTAGCAACACACCATCATAGTTGCATTTAATCCACTTAAGACGAGGCCCTTCCCAACCGACCATAATATTATCATTACATGCAAATGAGGAAGAACAATTGTTGAATTTATATGATTGATGTTGTTTAACAATTGTTGGAATTGATGAATAACCTCTTGGCTCCATATCTTCCACACCGGTATATAACAATTTATTTATACTAATCCAAATGCACCATAAAGTCACACCAAACACTACAGGATTTTCCCAACCATCATGACTTTTTGCTGGTTAAAGATTTTGATATTCCCTATGTGATATGGTGGCAGAACCGACTGTTTAATATTGGTCTTGCGTTTGTGTTTGCAAATGTTGCGGTAAGCAAGAGTCGCCACCGACTTTTCTTTTATCCAACAAAGGAAATGGTGAAAAGAACAGAAAAAGACCTTTTCAAGAATTTTCTGAGTAAGGGGGTAAATTATAGAAAGGGAAGGTGTTAGCACCGTTTCCATCTGTAGTTATCTACGGGCTCTTAGAGGATTGCTCATTTTAAAATACCTTTGTGTTTTGTGTTTGAAAATGTTTTGAAAACGTCTTAGTACGACAAACTTTGTAATGTTTCTCGGGATAGTGGAGAAAGTGTACAAAGTATTTTGAAATTGTTTTTGAAAAGAAGTTTTTGTGTAAGTGCAAAATGTTTGAGCAAACTTCTAACAACTATCTACTTTATTACTCGAAAAGGGTCATTCTTTTCCTCTTTTCCTTTAGGAAATGCTATCCTACTATTTCGAGTAGGTAGCTTTGTCGTCGGATGTTTGAAGGACAATCGAAGGGACATTTTACAGTCACGAAGGCAACTTGTGGAGACGCTTTAGCAATTTTATTTTAGGGACTAGATCATTTACCGAAAGGCAAATGTAGGGTCATCGAGGGTGAAACTACGCGGTCGAGACCTGTCATCTGGATGTTAATGAAACATCAATGAATTCGCCACCGAACATCTTTTATCCCACCGAGAGGGAAAGGTAAACATCGAGAAAACCTGAAAAGGGAGAAATCACGGTCTTTCGACCGAGAGATCGGGTAAGGGAGTCTGTTACACGAGGGGAAGGTATTAGCACCCCACACGCCCGTAGTACTCTACGGTATCCACTCTTGTTGTCTAATCTAAATGGGTGTGGTCAAATCCTATGTCTATGGCTTAACACTGAAAAGGGAATGCATGCGAAAGAAAAAAGAAAATAATGTAGGAAAATAAAAGTTATGCTCGGTTGGCCCCTACCCAAATACCTACGTATCCCTTTTAAGGAATCAGAGCAGTTGTAGTACGGCTTATGTGTTTTGGTTGGTTTATGTTTTTTAATTAAGATAAACAAGGATAGTCAAGATGGTAAAACATAAAGTAAAACAATCAAACAAATGAAGTGATCAAACATCGACTAAGTAAAAACAAAGTAATATGTCAAAGTTGGCAAGATATCAAATGATAAAACGGATGACAAAACATCACACCTAGCAATGATATTGAGAATCAAAGCAGGATAACAACAGATGCGATGACAAAACATCGGCTTCAAACAAATGTGCGATGGCGAAACATCGACCCAAGATAACATGGCAAAGATGGCGAAACATCAATAAAATAGATAGCAAAATATCGCACCTAACAATGATATTGAGAATCAAAGTAGGATAACAAACATGTACGATGGAGAAACACCGGCTTCAAACAAATGTGCGATGGCGAGACATCGGCTAAAAGATAACAAAGATATCATGGTAGAGATGGCAAAACATCACACCTAACAATGATATTGAGAATCAAAGTAGGATAACAAACATGTGCGATGGCGAAACATCGACTTCAAGATAACAAGATATAATAAGATTGGTTTGTATCTTTTATTCTGAAGAGGAGTTTGAGTTTATTAGAGGTGTTCTTACGATTTGCCAAGAAAACAGAGTTTTTGTTTTAAGATGCAAGATGCAAAGAAAGGGAAAACAACTAAGGGAAACTAACCTAGTACTATCCCTAGTGTTATCATACAATGGTTGACCCTAAGGTTGAGAATAAAGGAAAGTCTTATCCTAATGTTAGCATACATGGACTCCTATCTTAATCAATCATGCCAAAGGGAACTTAACAAAACTATCCTATAGGGAACATGCAATGAGAGCGAAGTCGTGATCTCAATGTCTAAATTGAGTGACTCATCGATCAACAATTAAAGAAGAAAAGCAATAAACATCCCATAGGGAACATGAAATGAGAGCGAAGTCGTGATCTCAATGTCTAAATTGAGTGACTCATCGATCATCAATTAAAGAAGAAAAGCAATAAACATCCTATAAGGAACATGCAATGAGAGCGAAGTTGTGATCTCAATGTCTAAATTGAGTGACTCATCGATCAAAAGCAAACACAACACATATATTAGACAAAAACCAGAGGGCCTCCTGACATATATCATGCAATCAAAGAATTATGCAAAATGAAAATGGGAGAAAAGAGGTAGTACAATACCAACCAAATAACTATCTGTAGTAATCAAGCAAGAATCAAAGAAACCCAGAGAAACTTCAAGCAAGCTGGCATCAGTAGACAAATTGAGTCAGCAATTGCACCATCAAGATGTAAGTAATTTATCAGATATGAACAAATCCCACAGGCAATGTATGGCATTCACAATCATAGAGATGTATATCCTGCATAAACCATTAAGCATGCCAAACACAAAAA